TCGATGGATTGAAGGTACGTGCCCTACTTCGTAATTGGGACACAGAGCCCGCACCGAGTAGGGTTAGGGATTAGGTTAATGTTCGCTGATTTCGTCTTGCTCTGCTATTTTTTTCATAGGCGATTGATGTAGTACGTCTCCATCTGATCCGTGTTGCAATGGCCACTGGTGATTGCCCTCCTTGGTAAGCACTTTACCACAGTAGGTGTAGTACTTAGTCTGTACTTGCTCATGTTTTTCCATGTCTATGATGATGCTAGGATCGATCCTGGCAGTGCATTTAGGCTAGTTGTTAAGGTTGGTCCATATGTTGCTGATGAATATGGTCCAGTGGACATGGCAAAGCAGCAGCATGACATCCAGTTTGATAGGAACGATCAGTATTCTTTTGCTAAATTCCATGATGATTTATCAACAAAGACTATCTAGGGGCCTTCTCAAACACTTGTAGTCTGGGTTGTAGACCAAGAGACTGGCTCTAAGTGGAAGCTTAGGAGGATGAACATGTGCAGCAAATGATTAAGGACCACTGGGATGAGAGGGTGGCTTTTCTTATAGTTGATGTTGTCAAGAAAGGTGTGTGTAATGACAATGCTAGTTTAGCTGCTTCTAGATCTAGATGTGTCTCTAGTGTGACTAATGAACATAGTGCATAGCCTAATGATGTTGAAGGCTGTGGTGATACTTGTAGCACCCCCCATGATGAACAACCTATAGTAGTAGTTGATTGGAGCATTCTAACCATTCAAGAGAACCCTAAAGATGATGGTACTGCTACACAGCTTGTTGATGAGGATCAGATATATGAGGCTATGGGATTCAAGGAAGCTGAGGCAAGAGAGGAAGAACATGGTACACAAGAGGTGCCAATTCCAGCTATGTCAGCACAGATGCATGAAGACATGAATGCAGCAGCTGTTGATGTTGATGACATTGCTCATGAAGAGCCACTATATGAATGGGACAGGGATAATCCTGATATGAGTGTAGGCACTGTGTATCCCAGCATGGAGGAGCTTAGGCTAGCAATTAAACAATATGCTATAAAAAGGGAGTTTGAGCTTGTTACTGAGCATTCAGACACAGAAAGATACAGGGTCTGCTGTGGTGCTCTAGGCTATCCATGGAAACTTAGAGCCAGAACCCAACATGATGGCAGTGTCAGGGTACATTTTCTGATTGTATACACATGTTTGTTGTAGTTTTTGTTTGCATTGCATCTTCTCCATTGAACTGGTGGTTTGAAGCCTTTCAATTATACTTATGTATGGCTTTTTTTGTACATGTAGATTCAAATAAATAAACAAGATCATAAGTGTACATCTACACAAAGGGTTGAAGACAACACTATGGCCTCAATAAAATGGGTGGCAGAGAGAGCAGTTCAATTCTTAAAGAAGAAGGCATCAATGGGGGCTACAGAGATGAAAAAGGAGTTGAAATTCAAATATGGTATTGACATCCCCTACCAGACAGTGTACAATGGGACTAGGAGAGCATCTGAAAAGCTTTTTGGTAAGTGGAATGATTCTTTCGATTGGTTGTATATGATAAAGGCTGAGATAGAACTGAGATCACCTGGTAGTGTGGTAGAGATAGACACTATCACAGATGATGAAGGCAAAGTTAGGTTTAACAGATTCTTCTGTGCATTCAAAGCAAGTATAGATGGTTTTTTGAATGGTTGTAGGCCTTATATCAGTGTAGACTCCACTGCTCTGAATGGGTCCTGGAATGGCCACATGCCAACAGCCTTAGCTCTAGATGGCCATAACTGGTTGTTTCCTTTAGCATTTAGCTTCTTTGACTCTGAGACAAAAGACAATTGGGTTTGGTTTATGGAACAACTTAGGAAAGCAATTGGACCCATGGAGCACTTAGCAATCTACACAGATGCATGCAAGGGTTTGGAGTCAACTGTAAAAAGTGTGTTTTCAGATGCAGAGTGGAGAGAATGTTTTAGGCATTTGATGGAGAATATGAAGAAGTACTACATAGGTGATGTGTATGGCAAGAATATGTGCCCTGCAGCTAGAGCATATTCCCCACATAAGTTCAAGTACTTCTTTGACAAAGTGTTGGCAGCTAGTCTAGAGGTGTAGAAATGGCTTGATGAGCACCATCCATTTCTTTGGGCAAGAAGCAAGTTCTCTGCTGATATCAAGTGTGACTACATAAACAACAATCTAGCAGAAATCTTGGAATGTTTGGATCAAAGAGCACAAAGACCTGCCTGTGCACTGCATGGTAGATGCCATTAGAGAGCAGATAATGATATTGTTTGCCAAAAGAAGGAAGATTTCTATAGCATTGCCTCCTGGTATATTTCCTGCTGTCATCTATCAGCTCAATGCTGCCTCCAGGGGACTAGGTCACATGCATGTTTCCAAAGGCCACCCTACTGAAGCTGAGGTCACTGAGGTGTACAAAGATGAAGAAGTTAGAAGGCATGTTGTGTACTTACCTCAGAAAATTTGCACTTGCAGGCAGTGGCAACTAACTGGTAAACCATGTCCACATGCACTGGCAGTTATCACCAGCATGAGGAACCCTGACATGGGATCCTTTGTGGACAACTATTATTCTGTGGCTAAGTTTCAAGCAGCATATGCAGGTATAATTCCAAGCATCACTGATAGGAATCAATGGCCTGAGGTGGCCAAGGGGTACAAAGTCCACCCTCCACTATAGAAAAAGAAAGAGCTTGGAAGAATGAGGAAAAATAGGATGAAACCAGCAAGGGAGACAGGAAGCAAAGCAACTAGGCAAGTCAGGTGCCCAAACTGTAAAGAGTATGGTCACAGGGCTAGTAGCTGGAAATGTCCCCACACTGGAACAAAGAAAAGGTGCCTTCTAACTATGATTTACTTGTTTTTGTTTTTTTTTTGTAAATGATAACCACTGACCCTACACTTTGTAGGAAGAGAGCAAGTAAGAAGAAACCAGCCAAGGTTGGGAGGAAGAAGGCCAAGACATCTGGTGGTGATGAAGCACTAACTCCAAGAACAAGAGCAGCATTGGCAAGAGAAGCATCAGCAAAAGCTAAGAGGGAGACTCTAGAAGCACAAATGAAGGCAGAAGCAGCAAGGGAACTAGCAGAAGCAGCAGCAAGGGAGGAAATGGAAGCTACAAGAAATGAATTTGAAGCAGCAAGGGAAGAAGGAGGCCTGGAACTAATGGCTTTGGAAGCTGTTCTACCAGAAACATCAATTAGAAGGTACTCATTTCATCTTCTTTAAGATGGTTAATTGAAACTATGCTGGTAACTAAATATGTTTTTCCTATAATAGGGCACTGTTTGCACAAGATGAAGTCCAACCTGAGCCTGTGAAGAAAATTACACCAAGGAGGAAGCAGTTAGCAACTAAAGTGAAGAAAACTCCACCACCTAAGAAGAATGGAGAGAAGGACAAGGGGAAGGGCAAGGCTAAGGCCAAGTGACCATGGATGATCTTTTATGCAATGATCTAGAACTTTTGTGTTCAATGGCATGTAATTTATGTTATGTACTTAAATGGGCACAGAAATAGTAAGCATGATGCCTTTATTTTGGTAGTAAAGAACATCCCAGTTATGTGATGGCAAACCAGCCCCTATTTGAATGTCAAGAACATCTTATTTATGTAATGTAATGGCAAACAATTAGCCCATATTTCAATGTCAGCTTGCAGTTGCTCTTTTTCATTACAAGTTGGTTGTAACTACTCATTCACTGAAAACAACTCCAACTGCTCATTCATTTGAAACTGAGAATGCACAATTCCAACTGTTCATTCATTCAAGCATACTGGACAACCAATTTCATTGAAATAAAATGGTTCATTGTCATACAAAGTCACTACATCAGGTCATCATATATTTGAAAACTACTCCAAACACAACAACCACAAGACAAACAATGACATAGTTCATTTTTGACATCATCTTCTTAAGCTTCTTCTCCAGTGCCTCAGTCTTCAGGTCCTTCAAGCCCTCCACCCCTAGATGGGCGACTTCACTGTGCTCTTCTCCTCCCTCCTCCACCAGTTCCTCAATCTCCTCGCAGCAGATCCTGATGATCTTCTTGTCGATCAATTCATCGAAATAAGCCTTCTGGAACCTATAGAAGCTACAGAGCTGCGGATTGTGCAAAAAAAAAGAAATAAATAAGACAAGCTAGGGCTAGAATGAAGGAAAAAAGAAAATCACCAAAACTCACCCCGTTTCTAGGGCATTTGAAGAAGCTGCGGCCCTTGTTTCGAGTGTCCTGCACCATGCGAAGCTCAATCACACGAGCGAGCTTGCAATCGGGGCAGACAATCAAGGGGAGCCCTGTTTCCGTACCAACCGGATAGGCCACAAACCTAGCGACCACGGAACTCTCACCTCCTCGCCACTACTCGAAATTTGGATGACTCACTACTTATGACATGGTTGCCGTCTGTGGTGGCCGTGGCGGTGGAGACGAGCAGGATGGGGCGGCGGGCGAGCAGAGGAAGGAGGCGGCGGTGAACGAAATGAGGAGGGGGAAAAGGGAGAGGGCAACGGCGCGTCTAATTGAAAGATGGTCGAGGCGGCGAGGTCATTTCTCGTCTTGCGGTGCCGGTGATGTCGATGATGAGTCGTGCGCCACATAAGCGAAAGTGATAAAATGAAAGGAGCGTGAACTAAAAACGACTAAATTTGTAAGCGTCATTCTAAAAGTCTGCGATTCACAGTGGCGACGATCGTAATAATGGTAAATCGTAAAAAAAAAAAAAACCATCCCCAGTCGAGAACACATTACGCGAACACACACCACCTACGCCGCCGCGCAGGACACTGCCGCACCACCACACGCAGGACGGCAGGAGAGCGATCCCTCGCCGGCGGCGACAGATCGAAGAAGACAACCAAGCGATTCCTCTACGCTGTTGTGACAAAGACTGAGGCCACCAGATCGAAGAAGCAAGGTAAGGAACCGCACCCAAACCCTAGACGACGCCCCCTGCTCCTCCAGATTATTACGGCGCGCCAGTGCCATGGCGCTGCGCTCCCCCTCCAGCACTCCTCGGCTGGATCTGGCATCCCGTGATTCGCCGCCGTCCGAGTCTCCGCCTCCCGACTCTCAGGTAACTAGTTCCCTCTCGTTCGATCCGTCCACCTACGATGCCTGCAATTAGCTGCCCGACTCCCTTGTTCTGACGAGATCCATCGCCTTTCACCGAATTAACCAGTAGGCCCCGATCAAACTGTCTTTATACTAACAAATTATTATATGATGCGCCATGTTTTTTCCAGACTAACAATTATAGTCCTAGTTCAGACCCTTGCGCAGAAGGGTTCTGTAATTTGACCCAATAATGGTGAATGTTGCCACTTAAATATGCACAGTAAGTGCCGGGTTATGTGCTAAATTGTTACTTTTGCTTGAAAGAGAGTGTTGATGTTTGCTTTTTACTAAAGCAATTTGTATGTGTTCTAAATTGTACTGTTAAAACATTTCCAAAAACAAGTCTAGCAATATAAATTTGATATAGTTCAGTCTTGATAGCTTTATTAGCCTACTGGTCAAACTTTTGAAAGTTTGATAGTATGGATTGTAAAAGGACTATTGTTAGGAGACTTCAGCCATGCTCTCTCTTGTTAGTGTCCACTAACATGCATATGAATAGCTGTTTTTGACTTGTATTACTACCTCAACTATAATTCTCTAATTAATCCTACCAGGGTGGATCCAGCAATGGAGCTAAAGCAGAAGTTGGTAGGAAGACAAAGGAGGGAGTGGATCATTTGTTGGCAAAATTAGAAAAAGAGGGAGTGGAGATAGATGACAAGATAGCTAGTATTATTGATGATGGGATAGCTAGAATTAAAACTGAAGCCGTGAGGTAATTGGAGGCGCTAAAAATTATTTGATTTTTACTCAAATGAAATGATCCTAACATTCATGCATTATGCACATCCTTTTGATAGGGAGAATATCAATGAGCCAAAAAGGAATTGGATATCGGTACTGGACACTGTTGCATGTATTGCTGTTGGTTTCATGATGGGAGTGAAATGGTATGAACATGCCTTCCTTGCAGCAAATACCAAAGATAAGATGCGCCGCCCTCCATGAGGAATTGGTGAGTTCAATAGCCTAGGGCTTGTGGGTACACTCTGTTTATGGTATGCAAAACCAAGTAGGTAATCTTGGTGACATTGCTAGTTAGCTATGGTATTCAAAACCTGTTTATGTTGAATGATTTTCTTGCTATATTGTGGTTTTTGGCATATACTCCCTCCATCCCAAATTAGAAGTCATTTCAACTTTCTTGGAGAGTCAAAGCATCTCAAGTTTGACCAAACTTATATAATAAAATAATAACATTTATGATACCAAATAAGCATAATTATATTCCTTATTAATTATATTTTTATAGTATACATATTTGATGTCATAAATCTTTGTAATTCTCTTTATAATTTTGGTCAAACTTGAAATGCTATAATTTAAAGGGGAGGGAGTATCATTTAACTCTTACTGGTAGCATCATGTTGCTGTTCTAAGCTGAATGGATCAGATGCTTGGTTAAGTACTCCAAGTTAATTAGTGTTTGGTAATTGAAGTGGTGTGTGCGGTGATTATTTATGGATGGTCTGTTGTGATGATCTATGGAATATAATTCATGGTATGGCACTTGATTGAAAAATGGTGATTTAGGATTTGCGCCTTCACATCCAATTACAGGCTTTGGCCCCCTGGATTCTTTTCTCCAGTTGGTCTTCATTTCCAGTATTTATTACTCTTTGGTAAATGTTTTATTTGGTTTGTCAGCTTGAGCCTACAAAGGAATTATTCAGGTATTGTCAAAATGGGAAGAAACAGATCGTTGTACTTGACCTGATCGGTCAGCAGGTTTGCTGGTTAGAGTAAAGCATGAGGTGACGAGGGGTCAAAAAGCAAGAAAAAGGAGGAGGTGCAGGGTCGGGATTGGCGGTTGCGGAAGAAGAGCGTCTTCAGTTGGCCGCCTCACGCCAATACAGTGCAGAGGTTGCAGTGTTATTTGTGTCCACTAGTATTACGCACAGTGTTACAAACAGCTACATGCACCTGCAGCCAGAACGGCAAAGTCGAGCTTCCCGCAGCTGGTGTATGTTGAATTGAACAATGGCACTGCCAAGCAATCCGGAAGCAGAAAGCAAGCGGGTAACACGCAGCACCAGCATGCACTGGACGACCGCACCTCCATCTCACAGGATCACGCATTTCTGACGACCGCACCTCCATCTCACAGGATCACGCATTTCTGGCTACGCTTGACGGCGTCGGACGGCGCCCCCGCCTTCTTCCTGCCGCGCACCGCGGCCTTCTCCTCCGTCCTCTTGCTCCTTCGCCTGCACAGAGTCATGCGCAAGTTCAAGTTCAATACAAATCCATCTGCGCCTCTTTCTCATGTCACGTGTACGAGAAAATGACGAGGCAATGTGTCTGTGTCCTCACTTGGCCATCATGACCTTGACGAACTCGTCGTAGTTGATGTTGCCGTTGCCGTCCACGTCGGCCTCGCGGATCATCTCGCCGACCTCCTCGTCGCTCAGCTTCTCCCCGAGGTTGGTCATCACGTGCCTGAGCTCCGCCGCGGAGATGAACCCGTTCTGGTCCTTGTCGAACACGCGGAACGCCTCCCTGAGCTCCTTGTCGAACACGCGGAACGCCTCCCTGAGCTCCTTGTCGAACACGCGGAACGCCTCCCTGAGCTCCGACGACTCCGTGTCCATCCTGCGCGCCATCAGGCCGAGGAACTCCTGGAGGTCGATGGTGCCGCTGCCGTTGCTGTCCACCTCGGCGATCATGTCCTGCAGCTCCGCCTCGGTGGGGTTCTGCCCGAGGGAGCGCATCACACAGCCTGTTCGTTTGGCTGTGGCTTGTCGTAAACGATCGTAAATTTTCAGCCGGAACAGTATTTTTCTCTCACACAAATCAGCCAGCAGTATTTATTCACGAATCAGCAACGATATGAACCAGCCAACCGAACAGGCCGACGGTTCCCAGCTCCTTGGTTGTGATGTAACCTGCCAAGTCAAATCGGTTGGACCATGCAAGTCTCCCGCTACACCACTGCAGCTAGCACCATCCGACAGTAGAAAAGGCCACTAAATACATACATATACATATGGCACATTTGCAGCTAAAAAGTCAAGAATCACAGGGACTGCCAATAGATATGCCACACCTGGGGCTTCCAGCTTCAGACGATGAGTCTTGAATTGGTATTATAGAAATCAATAATCATACAGAAATTTTACATAAATCAGTTTAATTTGTAGGAAAATGTAAGATTGAGCGAGAAAAATTCCTGCGTTTTAAAGGTGGCCTTTGTACTTTGTGGACGTAATGTGGCAGCATTAAAATCTTGATAGCATATATCCTTGAACAAATACTATTGATTAGTCCATCATTCCATCGCCACTGTTGTATTATATGCCAACAGGGCTCAGCGGGTGAGGTTAGAATCAGATTCGCCTTCATCGCCGCTTTATTCTTCGACCTTTTTACCATTTTGAAATGAGAGAGTGAGAATATATGATTCCATGGAGTGAGTAAAAACAAAAAAATAAACCGTGCTACTTCCAAGTAAAATTTATCAAACTCCAAGTGGTGGCTTGGCTGACAAGTTGATCTATCGAGACTGCAAGTATTATCAGCAAATTTGGGAAAGTAGGTGCTTGGATCAGATGTTTATAGGTTTGATTCCTTTCTCGAAGGGACGAAAAGTTTTCTCCTGGCTGAAAGGGAAACATAATCCCTTGCGATGGAACATGGCAATGGCTGGAGCACAGGTCATTTTGTTTCAGAAGCAACATGGCCAATCAGCTATGTTGAAAACAGTAATCGAAAATCATTGAATTCCATAGCATGATTCCTCTCACGTTCAAACGGTTTTGTACATCCTTTGTTCCTACTAAAATCCTTTCAGATTCTGCTCAATCCGAAGACAGGTTTGACTCACCGCACAGGACAGATCGCTTCGTTCGCAAGACACGGCCGAGAATCACATAAGAACATCGCGACAGTCTACCGACGCACTAAAAAGATAGTAAAACGCATGATCAGATAGATTTTGCTCGATCGGTGTGGCCGCGAGAGGTCAGGTCAACCAAGAGAGTAGAAGGAGCGTTGGGGAAACAGGAGGGGAGCGAGAAGATTGATACCGTCGTCGTCCTTGTCGAGGAGGCTGAAAGCTTCCTTGAACTCGGTAATCTGGTCTTCGCTGAGCTGGTCCGCCATGGCGATGGAACGGAACGTCCGAGAAGACGAGGGAAGCACGCAAGGCTACGAGTGCGCGTTAATGGCGCGTTTGCTGATTCTGCGCTGGTGCGCGAGACAGGGAGGCAGCTGGGATTTATATACGGAGGAATGGAATGGAATGGCCCAACGATACATAGATGACCTGACGAGTGGTCATTCAACTTTGGGCCTCGTGGCATTGGTATCTGATTCTTCCTCTGACACTGTATTTCTCTTGAAACATGCTGTATTCCTATCTGATCAGCAGTTTAGCAACCCAAGCACAATATTTGTTATGTGCAACATGCTGAATTTACTGACGGGGACTGCGTAACCCATAGTCACAAAATCCACCTTGTTAAAATGATAATGAAACTGAAGCTGCACAACAGATAAAGCTGAGCTCATCATCCTGAAAAGACATTGTGGGTTAGTAAAAAATATAAAATAAAATTACAGACTTATCTGAATGACCCATCACGTTTTCAATATTGTGTGTGAAGATTGACACATGGCACTAACGTGCATACTATCAACTCAACAGAAAGTCGCTGAAAAACATGGAACTCCAAGTAGTAGTTCCACAGATAAATGTTGCAGCTGCAAGAGGCTTTCTAAAATAACATTGAATCCAAACAAACTAGCAAGCTACAATCATTTGTGAAAGCAAATAGGGTATCTACTGAAAGAGAGTACACAGATTGAGACTACATTACAATAGGAGAAGGTTACAAGGTACAAAAAAAATTAGGCATGACCAACAAAAATCAGTAACCAGCTGCTCCTGTTCCCAAAGCTATGCACAAATATCTGACCGTAGAATGAGAGAAACAACTCCCTATGGTAACAAGATAATTTTGGAGGCGTCATGCATTTCCAGTATCTTCTTGGCCTGTCAATTGCTCACCCTTAGATACTGGAATAATGCAGCAATTCTCATAGGCCTTGATGTCATGCATTTCCATTATCTTCTTGGCCTGTCAATTGCCTACCCTCAGATCCAGGAATGATGCAGCAATTCTCATAGGTCTTTCCAGACCTTGTAGTCAGTATTTGAGCTGTTGGGATTTATTGGTATATCCTGACATCCTAAGAAAAATGTTGGTCGAACATCCATATTGATCAAGGCATGTGCAGTGGATCTTGCACTTGCAACAATAGCGACCTCGTCAGCAGCAATCATGGCTTCGCCATATCCTTTATCTTTTATGTCAGCATTTTCCAACTGTCAATTAAGTGAAACAAACAGTCACCACTAGAAGCATCCAATTCTTTACAAAAAGGGTGACGGCTATTATTACCCTGAATTTTGTCTTGGCCCCCCAGATGACGAATGTTTCATTGCAAGTATGGTGACGATGGTTGCCACGTAAACCACCTGGTTGGATCTGTCCGACATGAAGTAGTAAACAGACCAGTGCCCCACCTGACACAACAACAATAACAGCAAAGAAAACCGTTTAGTCCAAGCAAGTTGAGGTAGGCTAGAGTTGAAACCTAGCATGTGCCACCAACAAAAAGGGAAAGTAAAGAAAGGAAAAATATAGCGCTAAAAAAATTTGACTCTTTCATGAGGGGAGGTAGGCAGAGTGACAATGTATACAATGTTTATCATAGCTATTTCAGCAAGGTTACTATCCCCATCTACGTCTATTCTCCCATAACAAAAGACACGATTGCATGCGGCATAAATATCAATGGTGTGATTGGTTGCTTTCGTTAGCCTTAACCTGTATTAGGCTTTATGCAGCACAACCCAAGCCGGCATAAATGTATGCAATATGTTTATGTTTGGTTGTCTTGTATATGCAAACTGCATTTAGTAAGATTGTGTTTGGTTGCTTGCATTGTACACCTTCATGTTAAAGTAGAGGCGGGGAAGGTGAGGAGATCCCATTTTTATGAGCGCTATTGGCTTGTGCAAGCCTACATTTTCTAACACAACCAAATCTCACGTACCAGCTAATGCAGACTTAGGCTGCTTTGAGGATTGTACTGCGGGCAACTAAACACGAGTAAGTTGCACTGCACAAGTCTGGATATGGACTAATGCATGCAAACAAACACAGCCTAAGTGCATACACCATTTTTTTTCTGTGAAATGCAACATTTTGAATTATGGCTTATAGACACAACAACAACAACACCGCCTTTTAGACCCCAGCAAGTTTTGGTAGGCTAGCCACTAGCACGTGATAATCACCAAACAATGGAATATGCTCGCAGCTATGCAGCTAACGGATGAACACTGAATTCATTTTTTTCATCCTATGACAAGAGTCAGATTTTTTGCTCAGAAATAGCATGGATTTTCCATATTTGTAGATTTGAGGCTCGTATTTTTCCACATTTGTAGAAGATAGAGATATATAACTAATATAGAATCTATAGGGCACTACAAATTATTTGGTGGCTAAAATTGTCTAATATTGAGTATTTGAAAGAAGTTAACCAAAGTCAAGCTGAGCCAAGAATTGATGAAAATGAAGAGGCAGGGGTATTACAAGAAATTCATTCCCACTACCAAACCTACACTAGAGAAAAAATGTAGAAAAAATGATCTCCAGTGATAGCACCAACGGAATGGCAGCAAAGCCAGAGATACAACTAGCAAATGCAAAGAAAGCATAGAAGAAAAATTATACACAGAACATAGATACCCAGTTTTTTTATAACTAAAAAACCAGTCACTACATTGATAATGCAAATGTTCTCTTTCCTATATGTTTTTCCCTTGGATTGAAATGGTGCATTCAACATCTTACTAGGACAGTTGGGGCACTTGAGAATAAAGGAAAACGTATATTTCAAAACGATAATGTAGGTAAAGGTACTTTTGGTTGGTAGTTGCCAAAGAAAAACCAAATTATACATTAGTCTATAAATGTGTAGTAGGACTGTAGGAGTATATTTTAACAAATTAGAGCAGTAGAGATGTGATGTAAGGGGAAGAAAGCAGCCTCCGGAACATCTCAAGTTAATGGTCTGCAGAGCAGACAGCATCGCACATTAGACACGATACAGAGGTTCCTGCTGTTAAAAACACAATGTCTGTCACATAGACAGGCTGTATTTCCAGTTCAATCAACATTAGATCTGATACAACAGTTGTGTTCTGTCATGCAATCGCCAACTACACCTGCCATTGGGTTATGCAATGGGCTAAAATGGCACTATATCAATAGACCAGCTGCATTTGACGTAAGATGCAGATAGGTGAATATGGGATTTAACTTGATACCCTCAGACAGAAGTTGAAACCTCAATAATACACAAAAAGGATCAGTGTTCTATGAAGCACGATGAGTACAGAAGAGACACTAGCATATTTACATCCACTTATGGATATGAAAGATGCTTTTGCAGAATTGCAGTTCACTAGCTTCAACTTCAGAGCATCAGTTCTCCCGTTCACTAACTACCAACTGAGCAAACGGGAGCTACAGTCTCGCAGATAAACTTCAACTTTAGCCAACGCATTTTGATCTAATCTATGGAATTTCACCACACTATCCAACGTTAATTATCTTCACAGCACTCTTGCTACAATTGCAGCAGCGATTGGCTCATCATTGGAGGCGTGAGTTGAGGAGTGCTCACCTGGAAGGCCGGCGTCGCGGGCGGCGGCGACGGGGTCCAGGAGCCACCCGCGCCCGTCGCGGGCGATGGGGGTGGGGTGGAGCTCCGCGGGGAAACGGACGAGGTTTGCTTCAGGATCGTGCACGACGGAGGGGCGGCCGCCGAGCGACGGTGGCGGCGAGGGGTGGTGGAAGCGGAGCGAGAGCCAGGTGAGGAGGACAAAGAGTGAGAGAAGGAAAGGGAAGGACGCCGGCCGCTTCAGGAAGTGGAGCAGCGACGACGCCAGAGAGGAGTGAGGTGGAAGGGCGGCGGCGGTAGTTGGGAGAGGAGGCGGCTGCGTCTGGATGTGCAGCGCGATGGCTCGCCTCGGGTTCGCCATCGACGGTCGCCGCCCGGCGGATCGGCGGTGGCGGCGAGTTGTTCGTGGGGACGGGTTGCTGCCTTGCCGACGCCGCAATGGGCTGAGCCGCTGAGGCGCCGAGCCCACGGGTTCAACGGCCTGTACAGCCTGGCTCTTGTGCCTGGGCCCGTCTCGTTTCGCTACTCGAATCAGCTGGGGCCCAGACGGCAGAAGCATTCGTGCCGTTTTGCGCATTACCATGTTGCCCAGAACATTACCAGCATCGAGAGAGAGAGAGGGCGACGGATGCCCAATCGGTGCCGGCAGAATGAGAAAACACCGAGGCGACATAGCAGGAGCGAGAAGGAAGATGTAACGTCGTATCTATTTTTAAAATATCCAGATGCAACATTTATAACATATGTTTGAAGGCAGATGAAACATTTGTGGAAAACGCCTGAAAAACACTTGAAAATCATTGCAAATGTATGTAACATCCAGATGAAATACTTGCAAACATGCGTATAAAAACACTTGGAACACTCAAAACATATGCTTACAATATGCATGTACATGCAACATCCAAATCTACTTTTACAACATCCAGATAAAACACTTACAACATACTTCTACAACAGATGACACATTTAGAACATACATTTGAAATATAAGTGTATAACCATTACAATACGTGCAACATCCCGATCTACTTTTACAACATCAATATACAATATTTGCAACGTACCTCTGAAACATATGAAAACACTTAAAACATACTTTTGCAGCATACGCTTTCAGCGTAGCATCTACTCGTTGATTGGATGAATAGAGCTCATCGATGCGGAGCTCGATGCCGCGGAGTGGGAGGGGGGAGATACCAGCGGGCGAGCGACTGCGTAGCCCTGGCGGGCCATTCTCGCGCTACTTCTCGCAGTCGTCTGTGTAGTGCAGCGGGTCATGTGACTGGGCCGTCTGAGCCACCGTCAGGCCCCGCGCGTCGCGGACCTCATCTGCCTCGTCCAGAAACTCCAGGAGTAGGAGTCGCGCCTCCACACCGAGCTACTGGAGCACAAGATCCTTAAGGAGATCATCATCATCGTGCTATTCCTCGACACCGACGTCGTGGCTCCAAGGCGAGAATGCGTGCCTCCGGGCCGAGATCGACGCCGCCAAGACCAACCAGCAGCGGGTGGTTGAGTTGGAGAAGGAGGTGACAAAATCGTTTTTTAAAGCTAGAAGCAAGTTTCATATTAGGCTCCGCACACTAAAAGCGCGTCCGAAACGTCACGAGGAGAGCATTACCGTTACAGCCGGTACTTGTCAATTTGGGCCGAAATTTGGACGGCGATTATTTCGTTGGGCTGTCATTTGCAATTTTGCATAGTACAGTACTAGTACTGTACAACACAAACGACAAAAACAGTATTGCTCTGCTTTGCCACGTCATTTTGAAGGATAGATATTTTTCCCGGCTCGCTCACTGATCCACCCCATCGCAGCCATCGATCTGGAAATGACCGGCTCATAATTCTCGTCCGCTTATCCTCTCCTTTCTCTTCCCCAACTTCAACCAGTACCCCACAAAAACCCAGCCGGAGCTCGCGGTCGCCGGTCGCCGGTCGCCACCATCAATGGGGCCACCCGCCATGGCGTTCCAAGCCCTCACCCTCACACCACTCCCCTTCTCACTCCACAGCTCGAGACGCCGCGTCCGCGTTCGCGTGCTTGCCGTCGCGGCCGACCAGACCCCTCCGCCGCCGCCGGTCCCCCCTTCGGAACCGGCGAACAGCCCTAGCCGCCTCCTTCGGGAGCTCGCGCAGCGGAAGAAGGCCGTATCCCCTAAGAAGAAGCACCCGCCGCGTCGCTTCATCCTGAAGCCACCTCTCGACGACGAGCGCCTCACCCGGCGGTTCCTCAGCAGCCCGCAGCTGTCGCTCAAGGCGCTCCCACTGCTCTCTTCCTGCCTCCCCTCCGCGCCGCTCTCCACCGCTGACAGGACCTGGATGGACGAGTACCTCCTCGAGGCCAAGCAGGCTCTCGGGTACCCGCTCGCGCCCTCGGAGACGCTCGGTGAAGGCGATGACTGCCCCGCGCGTCATTTCGATGTGCTGCTCTACCTCGCGTTCCAGCATCTGGACCCCTCCTCCGAGCGCACGCGGACGCGGCACGTACGGAACGGCCACTCCAGGCTCTGGTTCTTGGGTCAGTACGTTCTGGAGCTCGCGTTCTGCGAGTTCTTCTTGCAGAGGTATCCCAGGGAGTCTCCTGGGCCGATGAGGGAGCGGGTGTTCGCTCTGATTGGGAAGAAGGTGTTGCCCCGATGGCTCAAGGCAGCCAGCCTGCACAATTTGGTCTTCCCCTATGATGATTTGGATAAGATGATACGAAAGGATCGGGAGCCGCCATCCAAGTGAGTGTTCTGTCATCCATTTACTGAAAGTGGGGATTTGTTATGCTGAAAATGTGCAACTGGAAGTTTAGAGATGGAACCTTGTGTGTGATCATTTTTTTTAGAGTTCAAGGGCATAGCCCAGGCCTTCATATTGATAAAGACCACAGTAGTTTAAGCATTCGATACAGCAATCCAAAAAAGAAATTGCGAACACTGCTGATGGATAAGTGTTATGTGTGGCTGGTCTTTGTGGGGCTGTGTTGCTCACATGGTCCTTGTGGCTGTTTTTCTGTTTTTAGGACAGTATCTTAGACTAGAGGACAGCATCTTAGAGGATAGCATCTTAGACTAGAGGACAGCATCTTAGCTAGGACAGCATATTAGCATCTTAGACTAGCATCTTGGCATATGCTTGGTGGCTAGCGCCCTATATAATATGTAACCCCAACCCCTCAAAGTTGGTATGGCATTGAGAAATAAACCAAAATTGTCCCAACTCCTAGTGTCATCATCTCGATGAGAGTAAGAATTCTGCTACTTTCAAGAGTGAGAATTCAACGACTAACAACTGGTATCGTGAGTCAGATTATCCTCAGTAGACTGAAACAGCATCTCCTCGCTCATCTCCCTCCCCACCACAACAAATGACCCAAATAAAAGCAAATGCTCTCCGCCGCTCCTGCCGACTTTCACGCAGACGATTGAAAAGAGCTCGTCTGAAGCGACTTCTCTCCCCACGCAGCAGACCCCCAGTGGCGCGCGTCATGTCCATAGGCGATCTCAGCCTTCGGTTGCCTCGAGCACTGGGCGGCGTCGGGAGAGGCCGAACTTGCCGCTGCAGAGAACGCGAAAAGCGGCGCAAAGCGTCGCCGAGGTCGGGCAATGGCGAGCTGGCAAAGAGGCAGAGGGCGCGGCGGCAAGGGCAAGAATGCGGCGCGCAACGTGGCCAGAGGTCGAGGGTCGAGGCTCTGCAAAGATCGGCAGCGACTCCATTTCCGACGCAACACCGCGACGCGGACCTCGAAAGCAGCTAGAGAGGCGGCAGCGTGGCGGCGGCGGGCGCAAAGGTGCGAAGACGCCACGGCGCCCGCGCGGCGGCAGCGTGGCGGCGGCGGACGCGACAGCGGGCGGCGCTCTGAGAGGAGGCGCCGGACGGCGCTGGCGCCTGGGCAGCTGCGCAGACGCCACGAGCGCCGCGGCGGCAGCCAGACAGCGCGGACGCGCGGTGGCGCTCTGAGAGAGGCGCGTGACGGGCGGCGGCGCGCTCTGGAGGAGGAGGCGCGACGGCAGCAACGGTGGGGGACGGGTCGATGGAGAGCGCGGCCTTCACAGTGCGTGCGGGTTCTCTCCCGGATCGGTCCCGACGGGTCGATGAGAGAGCGCGCCCTTCAGCAAGGCGTGGCTCTCTCTCCCGGATCGGTACACCGGTTACCACGAGCTCCAGTCATTGTCGGGACGCCGGTCCCGCGGTGGGTGGCTTACCTCACCAAGACCAACTACGCCGAGTGGGGTGCGTGATGAGGGTAAAGCTCCAGTCGCGGCACATGTGGGAGGCGGTCCGTACTGCGACGACGTCGACTATGACCTAGATCGACGGGCGCCGGATGCCTCATCGCCGCATCCTTAGAGATGCGCTTCGCTACCAACAAGTTGACCGCCAAGGAGTAAGGACGCCATCGCCATGCAAGACGCGCGCGGCAGCGACCGCGCCATAAAGTCCACACCGCTGCAGCACTTCGCAGGAGTGGGAGAACACGCCTTCAAGCCAAGTGATGACGTTGATGACTTTGCTCTCCGCCTCAACACTCGCTGCGTAAGATGGTGCGATTCGGCGATGACACCTACGGCGAGGAGAGAGAGTCGTCGAAAAGCTCTTTCGACCCCGAGAAGTACAAGCAGCAGATGGCTCGCTCGATCGAGTCCTCTTTGGATCTCTCCACGATGTCGATCGAGGAGGCGATAGGTCGCCTCAAAGTCGCCGACGACGATGAGCCACGATCTCTCTCTTTGGCCCCATCACCACCGCGGGAAAGCTCCTTCTCACTGGGAGCAAATGGCTTGCCGCCAAGGTGACCGGAAGAAGGGGAGCCTTCTTCCGCGACAAAGCGATCGCAAGCGTGGCAAGCCACGCAAAGCCGCAGAGACGCCAGTAAAGCGCGAGGACGTCTTGAGGGTGATGCCCGCGAGGCGCCAGAGGCGGCGCCACGGCAGCAAGTACAGTTTACGAGACGACGCTTATGCCGCGCGCGGCTTAGCCATTGGGCCAAGGATCGCCGACAACCGACGCTGCCAGTCCACGTCGCCAAAGGAGGAGGAGCCGGCTGTTCTCGCACATGCAAGCATCGAAGCTACCTCCAACTGCACCGCCGCAACGGCTCTCCTCCACCTTGACGAGCCAAAAGCACCGCCTCCTCGGCGGCTGATGCCAACACGACAAGATCGGCGGGTGGTGCCTCGACACCGCGCCACCCATCACATGACCGGTCGACGGAGTTCTTCACCGAAGCTTGACTCTAGCGTCCGAGGCTCCGCTCAAGTTTGGGGATGCCTCGGCGTGGAGATCAAGGACGTCGGCTCCATCATCGCCTTGGGGACACCGGATGAGAGCGGTTCGCGGTGGTGGTTGAGGACGAGTCATGAGGATTTGGGATCGTCGTCTGCCGCCTTCTTGCCAAGGTATCCGAAGCGCAAATCGACTCTACGCCCTTAACGCAGGTGTGCACAACCCTCTCTCTCGCCGCTCGTCGGGACGATGAGGCGTGGCATGGCACGAGCGTTTGGCACCTTCACTTTGAGGCCCCGGCGGCTCGAGTGCCCGCGGAGATGGTGCGAGCCCGCCATGCCTCGACCATGTGGAGCGCTGCGGCGTCGCGTGTTGACGGCGGGCGACTCCCCTTTCCACAATGGGCTAGCTTTCGAGCCAAGGAGAGGCTCGAGCTTGTGCACGGGGACTTGTGTGGCCCAGCAGACACCGCCACACCGGAGGACGACGCTACTTCCTGCTGCTTTCGTCGACGACCTCTCCCGCTACATGTGGGTGATGGTCCTCGGCGATGAGGGAGAGGTCGGGGACGCCATCAGCGCCGCTGCAGTTTCGTCTGCGAGGCGAGTCGTCGCAGTCGCGCGGCGTCTTCGCGAGGAAACGACGCGGGCGGTGGTTCGCCGTCGATTATACCGACGAGGGCATTCAATACGTCACTACTCCAGCGCATGACAAATTTCGCCGCAGCAGAATGGCGTCGTCGAGCGCGCAACAACCCAGACGGTTGTGGGGATGGCTCGGCCCTCCTCAAGCAGGGGGATGCCGCTATGTCTTCTTGGGAGAGGCGGTGGTGACGGCCGCCTCACATCCTCAACCGCCGCCTACCAAAGCGCTTTGACGGCAGGATCGTCTGAGAGGCTTAGCATGGGCGCAAGCCGGCCGGCGGTCTCCACACTGCGGGTCTTCGTACGCCTCGCGTTCGCCAAGGAGCTTGGCTACATCAAGAAAGCTCGACGACAGAGCACTCCGGAGTGTTCATCGGCTACGCTGAGGCTCGAGGCCTACCGCATCCTCGACCAAGACACGGCGTGCTGCAGCGCGCGCCATGACGCCAGTTTCGACGGAAAAGGGCGAGGATGGGCGTGGGACAAGGCGGTGGACGATGGCTCGGCTCCGGCGTCACGACGACTTTCACCGCTGAAAGCACGCCCACTTCGAGGGAGCTGGGGGAGTAGGCGGCTCTTCTTTGGCGGCGCGTCTACCCCAAAATTTCAAGCCTCCACCGACCCGGCGCCTGCTACTCTCGACAAGACACGCTCTCCGCCGGACCTCTCGGCGCGATGAGTTCTTCTTCACTCCACCACGGGGTAAGCACGCCACGCACTCCGGCAGATCGACAGCACCTCTCCCGGGCACGCTTACTCCGGCTCTGTCGAAAGCATGCACCCGAGCTGAGCTCGCTTCTCCGCTTCTCTCACGACGAGGAGCGCGATCGACGCTACATCACGACGGCGAGCCATTGCGGTGCCGTCACGATGGAGAACCTTCTTGGTGACCGGCCGGTCTGCCGGGGCCCGGTGCCTCACGACTGGAGGCCCGGTTGCACCTTGCGTGTGATTTACGGCAAAGCCTCGGTCGTATGCAGAGGTTTCGAGAGACACGCTGCATGGCATGCCCCGCGATGCGATGCGCTGGAGATGGATGCGGTTGAAAAGAACCGCACTGGAAGCTTGCCGACCTTCCTCGTGGTCACCGCGCGATCACCCTTAAGTGGGTGTACAAGTCAAGAGGGATGAAGCCGGTGCCATCGTCAAGCACAAGGCTCGCTTGGTGGCACGAGGTTTCGTGCGGCGAGGAGAGGGGTCGACTTCGACGACGCCTTTTGCTCCCGTGTGGGCACGGATGGAGTCCGTCGACTCCTCCTTGCGCTTAGCTGCCTGAGAGGTCGGCGTGTATGTAAGAACCGACCAATTATACGAAATTAAGTAAGAGAATCATCCACCGAGCGATGATTGAACAAACTTAAGCCCGTATAACCCGGTAGTCCGTGAAATCACAAAGGATTTCAAACCAACTCGTGTCCCATGATCGTAATAAGTTTAGCGGTCACCATCACATATTACATAAAAGTTCGCAACCTCAGATACATCAGAGTTTAAACATAGTTATTACAAACCAGTTCGAATAAAAGTAGCGGAAGTCATTTGTTCAAACCACACACCACCACTCACGCAGAGTTTAAATATAGTGCCAGCGAATGATCATCTCCAACAAAAGCATTAGACGAGACGTAAGGAATGACCATGCCCATGGTCCTAAGCATCACCCATCGCAGGATAAAGGCGCTTGATACAATAGCCGTAATACATCCGCCCATCTCGCAACAAGTGGGAATAAAACCACGAGTACGAGAAGGTACTCAAATCGGCATTTACCCGACATAACCGAAAAATAAATGACACCAAGGATCATGAAGGCTTTATAGTAGGGTAGTGACTCATTTGCGTAAAGAAGCATTTTAGCATTTCAAGAACTT